GGAAGGAGGGGAGGGCCCAAAGACGGCTCTGACCACGTATGTTATTAACTTCGGGTCACGATCCCCTCTCCCAACACGTCATTTATACACGTCGTAGCAGTTAAACGAGTAATTAAAAGGAAACACACCACCCAATAATTTTTTAGTTGTGTTTTATTGAAATGCCAAGACTACTCCATGGTAATATTTCTTATTTTAAACGACGTCTATTCTCGTTAAACACACTTGACCGGCTGAAAAAAACTACTATATCCACTACATATTTGCCACTTTTCCGAGGCTCATCTCTGAATCTTTTCAAGAACTCACATATTTCTAATATCATTGAAAAGGTCTGTTATCCTTTCTCTTAAAATTCAAGTATTTTCTTTTATGGCAAATAGATAATAAATTAAGATAAATAGCATCCATCTGTCATTCAATCGCTCCTTATAAGGAAATGTTCTCCAGTCGAGATAGGAAGATCGATTGTTATGTTAGGCAAAGGGTGGTCCACTGTTGAGGTGTCACTTTTGTTGAAAACTTTTTCAATCTACTGTAAGATTAGATTAGATGATCATCCCACTGACTCCTGGGTGGATTGTGGATTCGAGGATGTCGGAGTTTCAATCCCAGGTTTGCCAATTCAGTCATCATCACTTCGTAGTTATAACCTTTGTGGCGGACGTCGTGCTCAACAAAATCTGCTCCAAGGATTTCTTCGGGTGGTGCCAGACAAATCGGTACAAAATAATCGTTTCCCTAAAAACAAATATCATTAATAAAAAATTTTAACAAATCAAAGCAAAAAAAGAGAATAACAATATAACTGCCAATTTTTTTTCTCTGCAAGGATAATTTCCAAAGTGGTTTTTATATTATGCTAAAGCTCACCATAATTAATAATGAAATTATTATGAGAAATTCAATATTAATGAAAGGAAATGCAATTACTTTATTATTTTTTGGTACATTACTGCATTTATTATATTTTATAATCTTTAATGTTTTTCCCTTTTTATAACCGTCGTTGAACAGCCGACCCAATTTTGTGGTTTTACACCTAATAATGTTCAACTCCGTAGCCTTGTAATTTTACACCCCCTCCAAAAGACAAAGGAACTCCTCAATCAAGTAGTGAGAGAAATTTGTCTTCGTGGAGGACTTTTTGATAGAACTAACCCGCATTTGTGTTACATGGATAAGAAAACCACCAAAACCTCTCATGGTTAGCCAGAAGGCAAGGGGACTCTAACCCAAAATCCGTCTACCACTGAGGATATTTTACGTCAGCACTCTAGTCGGTGCAAGCCGGATACGGAATTAAGATTATGAATACGGAACTCGGAACCTAAGTATGGTCCAAACATAGCTGTCGAATAAAATTTTTATAGGCCAATTAGGAGGGATCTCAGTGGGCCCCTAAAGGTATATTGCGAAGATGAGAGGAGAGAGGTTTTGAAGCGAAACTGTGGTTGGCTTCACGTATCACAGTGAACTGGATGGTAGGCCACCAGACAAGCAAGTTCGCTGCTGGATGATAAAATACAAAGTTTGAATGAAATTGGTCAAATATTTCTGTAGAAATTCGAATTTCAACCATAAAAACTTCTTTAAAATTCCAATTCTCAGGAACTATTCAACTGATTTTGCTCAAAGTGTGTATCTTTCTACATACAATTACAGTTTTTAAAGAGATAAAAAAAATTTGTATACCTTACAATTCAAAATGTTTTTAATTAATTATTAAATAAAATAATACAAAACAATTACAGAGTTGACACACTCTAATCTGAAAAAAAAAAAAAATTCTGTGTTTTCCCTGTAGATATTATACACAATATAGTAAGAGGAAACACACAATCATTTTACTCTTGTGTTAGCTGTATTGTACTATACTAAATTTATTTACCGGAGAAACTTAGAGAAAAAAGGTTACAGCTGAACATATTTAAAACAAATAATGCTAGAGCAAATTAAATAGTTTAGTATAGCTGAAATATGCCATAGATTGCACCCTGAGTGGTCACCATTTTTTAAAAAACGAAAATAAGAAACAAAATTTCCTGTATTTCCTCAGTTTGTAAAGTTAGTTAATTAAGTATTATTGGCGCAAAAGCCATTTTTGGCCATACCGCACCTACAACTTGTTTTATAAGAAACATTGTGCTATAAATTAAAGCTAAATTGATTTGTAAAAACCAATGTCCCCTAGATAATTAAAAATGTTATTGTGTGGTTTATCTCCAATTAATAAAGCCAATGTTGGATTAAAGCAACCAAAGTGGCGTTGTCTTTGTGTTTTAAATTCGTTACACTTGGTTAAAATATATTTAATAGTGAGCTGTTCTCTACAATGAGAACATTCGGGTGCAGTTTCGTTGAATAAAAGATGTTTATTAGTTACTCGAGAGTGACCGATGCGCAAGCGATTTAATATTACTTTCTGCTTTCGACTTATGTTTAGACTTTTATAAGATTTAATAGAAGGTTTAACGTCATGAAATTTATTATTTATTTCATTTTCCCAATCATTTTGCCAGTGTAAATACTGTTCATTGTCAATTGCATTTTTGATATCTGTGTAGGTAAGGGGGTTGTTTGTTACATTGTTTGTTGACTTAGCCACTTTATCTGCTGCTTCATTACCCGAAATGCCAGCATGGCCTGGCACCCAACAGAAAATTATGGCATATTCTTTTAGGAGTAAATTGCTGTATAGGTTTAAAATATTATTTATAATAGAATGTGTATTCAGTTCTTTATTTTGTAAGGCAACTATGACACTTTTTGAATCTGAATATATTATCCAGTTTTTCAACCTTTGAGAAGAAATAAATTGAAGAGTCAGATAAATCGCATGGCATTCAGATGTAAATACGGAGCATTTTGAATGTAATTTTTCAGATATTGTGGAGATAGGGGCAACAACAGCGCTTGCAACATGGTCAAGTCCTTTAGAGCCATCTGTAAAAATGGAATTAAAATCACTTTATTGTTCTCGGTGTGAATTAAAAAGCTGTAAGTAAATGTCAGCAGCAGTTTGTGCTTTTGTCAGATTGTTAAAAATATCAATAGTTTGGAGAGAAATGACGTCCCAAGGAGGCCTTAATTCGCTCGCAGGTAAAATATTAAAGTCTTCTAGGTTTAGGTCAGATCAAATCTTTCTTACTCTCAAACCAAAAGTCAGTATTGCAGAGGGTCTGTTACTAAATAATCTTTCATAAAATGGAGTTGTAACATATGAAAACATGCAATGTACATGATGGCTTTTGACATGAAAATAGTATCGCAATGTTAACTTATTTCGTCGTTCAGCAAGAGTTGGTTCATGATATAAAACGTTTAAACTTTTTATGGGTGATGTGCGAAATGCTCCTGTTGCTGCAATTATGGATGGTGTCAAGATATTTAAGAACAGATTTTCTAGCTGATCCGCAGACAACTCGCATAGTCGAGTTTAGATCGAATGATACACCTATAAATTTTGAGCCTGGCATCTGTATCTGCACCCCAAGAGATGTTTGTCAAAACTTTAAGTAAATTTAATTTCAGTTCACAGGTTTTTCTTAAGTGCTTACTATGAGATGCAAAAGTGAGTTTAGAGTCTAATATCAAAGCAAGAAATTTTGCTTAGCTTAAAACGGGAATGCGGAAGTTTTTGAGATACAGTTCAGGATCGGGGTGGAGCCCTCGTCATCGACAGAAGTGTATACTTGTTGTCTTAGTTGTAGAAAAATTAAAACCATTTAACTCAGTCCATTGGGATAATTTATTAATAGCGAGCTGCAATTGTCTTTCGATAGTGTGCATATGAGATGCTTTACAGGAGATCCGCAGATCATCAACGAATAACCTGCCGTCAACTGTAGATGGTAATGTGGTTAAAATATCGTTTATTTTTATAAGAAATAAGGTTACACTAATGACACTACCTTGAGGAACACCTTCCTCTTGATTAAAAGTGTCAGATAAAGTGTTATTCATTCTAACTTGAAATGTCCTGTCTGTTAAAAAATTTTTAATAAAATAAAACATATTTCCATTAATGTCATAATTTAAAAGGTCCCTTAAAATGCCGTATCTCCACGCTCGATCATACGCTTTCTCAATATCAAAAAATATCGGCACAAGATGTTGTCTTTTTAAAAACGCTTCACGTATACCAGTTTCTAAGAGCATTACATTGTCAATTGTTGAATTACATTTGCGAAATCCGCTTTGTCTCTTAGATAAAATACAACGAGATTCCAATAAATATATATTGCCCTTGCGTTTATTATTCTCTCTCTAGGAGTTTGCAAAGACAACTTGTAAGAGCGATTGGTCGGTAATTAGTAGGATGCATAGGGTCTTTACCTGGTTTAGGAATGGCAACTATATATGATTTTCTCCATATTGATGGGAATTGTCTATTTAGCCAAACTCTATTAAACAGTTTTAAAATTATTTCCAAATGGGTATCAGAGAGGTGCTTAAACATACTATTGTGAATTTTGTCAGGCCCTGGAGATGTTTCTTTACATTTATTAATAGCAGATTTTAATTCAGTTATTGTTAGAGGAGAATTGTAGTCATTATGAGGTTCAACAGAGGGTTTAAGTACATTTTTCTCAGTTTGAGTTTTGTATTTTTGGAAAGTTTGAGAGTAATTTTCTGTACTAGAGGCTCGGGAAAAACTTTCAGCTAAAGTATTTGCTATTTCTTTAATCTCTGTTATTTTATTTCCATTTACTTCAAGATGCGTAATAGGTAAAGGGTTGTAGTGTCCAGATATTTTTTTTATTTTAGTCCAAATTTCTTTTGCTTTCGTATTGTTATTTATGGTACTTATATATTTAATCCAAGATTCTCTTTGGCTTTGTCTTCTAGTTTTCCCAGCGAGTGCACGCAATTTTTTAAACAGAATTAAATTTTCAATAGTTGGGTATCGACGGAATATTCTCCAGGCTCGTCTTTGTGCTTTATGAGTTTGTCTGCATTCTTCGTTCCACCATGCCATACCGGCCAGGAAAAAAAAATAGGAACACGTCATGCGGCCGCGACATTAAAGTTTACTTCTTTACTCTAAATGTTTGCATAATTGTAACTGTATAAGATTTAATGTAACAATTATTATTGATTATAATACATATCAACTGACAAGATTTCTGATTATTATTATTATTCAACAAACTAATTAAACAGAAATGATAGCTGATTTAAAACATATTTAAAAACAAAATATTTAATTATTACTCAAACATATGTGACAATAAACACATATAAAAAAATAATCAATTCTTCTTGTCAAGTGCTACAGTTGCAGCAGATTTGGCTGATTTTAAAAACTTTTCATCAAACACTTGTCTATAACAAGGCTGTATCATTTGGGACTTGGTAAATCAAAATTGCCTGCCAAAAATGCTACCCCTAAACTCAGTCTTATTTTTTGGAAACATTGCACAAAACAACTTTGATGCATGGTCTGCAGCAGTTAACGGAATATTGTGTTCAAGGAGAAATCCTGTGAACAATAGTTCACTTCCAATTGATTGTAGATCAATAGTGGACGACACAAAATCAGAAATTTTTGCTGACTTTTTCATATTTGTATATGCGGTAGCATGCTTGGCTGTTTTCCCGTGTGAAATGATACACTTTCCGCCATGTCTGTATTGCAAGCAATACATAATGCGTACGATGTCCCCTTTCTTGATTTTTTGATGAAATCAAATTCTTCACTATAATTGTCGCAAAAACACTGACTTTGCCAAACTGTT